CCCCCAAAACCCCAAAACCCCAAAACCCCGAAGTTTGATGAGACATTAAAATACTTATTTCAAATGTTTATCTATATTTAAAGAGTATGGACGATATTGGGAATAATTTATGCTGAGGACGTATTATAATCGTATTCTATTAGATTTTCTCTTTGATGTGACTCGCTTGTCCGCTATATATCATCTATTGCTATACTTACACTTCGGGATATTTCTAAGTGGCCAGAAAATAAAGGTTCTGACTCGAAGTTATGCTCTTCAAGTCCGATTGTGACCCTTGGAGTCGAAGACAGACTCAGTCTTATCAAGTAGATCTGAACTATTGCTGGAACCAGACTCAGAATGAAATAGTATCAGAAGATGTAAATGGCATACAAAAATTTATTATCAGACATTGACGTTGTTTTCCAATCCTTCAAGAAATCATAAAAGCTCCTAGTCAGTGTTATGCCACTTCTGGTTGCAAAAACACCAAATATGACTGTGATACTAATTGCCAATCTTCATTTTAATTTATTTATGCAATCTGACACCATTTTCATCTGTTTCTATTTTCTTGAGGGCTCTGTAAAACCAGAGCAAGATGATCATAAAGAAGATGCCTGTTAACATATAAATTCAGCTTACAATTTTTATTCCTTTTGTTACTGCTTCGTGTTTTTCAGATTCTAGTTTGTTACATTCGTTTACACCATCAAAAATGAATACAACCGTTCATATAACCAAAATAGTAAACATACTAATCCATAGAATAATATTATAAATTCTTTGCCTGCCTCTTCCTCTGTCTTTAAACCTCAGGATTTGTGAAATGTAGGCAAAAGAGAGCACTATGATCGTGCTCATGTACATAAAATAGTTTATCCAACCAGTCCAATAATTTGTACAATAATGTCCATTCCCATTTCATGTATCAGCATATCTGAGTGACACTTCAGATACTCCATAGATGATGTCTCAGATAATAGATAAAATCAGAAATATCAGAAAAATGCTTGTCAACTTGTGCTTAAATTTGTAAAATCTGAAGAATTTGATTGAATACCAGAGATGTACCAAAAGAGTAAAGAACCCAAGTCACGAGTAGATTATCAACACGATAACATAAGTCTCTCAACCTCTAATAGGACCTTTGTCTTCCATTTTTCCGTATTTTATAGATATTTCAATAATTATTTAATACTCTGGGGTTTTGGGGTTTTGGGGTTTTGGGGG